CACTTACTTACATTTGTGTTCTGTAGATATTATTAATTTATTTTGCTGTTTGTACAGTGTGTCTTTTTATGTAAAAGATAATATCTATAGCAGCCATTCATAAACTGTGTGCCATAGCACCCAGGCACACAGGGGCACTGTGGAATGTTTCCCTGGTGCTATGATTATAGCACCCCCCATGAATCACTACCCTGCTCTATAGGCTATCTCAACCCCCCCATGCATCACTACCCTGATCTATAGGCTATCTCACCCCCCCATGCATCACTACCCTGATCTATAGGCTCTCTCACCCCCCCATGCATCACTACCGTGATCTAAAGGCTCTCACCCCCCATGCCTCACCAGTGATCTAAAGGCTGCCTCACTACCGATCTGGCTGCCTCACTACCCTGATCTATAGGCTCTCTCACCCCACCCATGCCTCACTACCCTGATCTATAGGCTCTCTCACCCCCATGCCTCACTACCCTGATCTATAGGCTCTCTCACCCCCATGCCTCACTACCTGATCTATAGGCTCTCTCACCCCGATCATCTATAGGCTATCTCACCCCATCAGGCTATCACCCCCCATTCCCCAGCCATCGGTCAGGGATTCAGATTTTTCTACAGCCGCAGCCTACCTTGCACTCATATGGTATAGAGCCTTGGATGTAAGGCTCAAGTCAAACTCGCAGAGGTATATTTAGGTAATGCCAAACCTCTTCCCTGCCTGCAAAGTGCATGCGGACCGGAATTTGCCCTGTTGCCCCCACTCACCCCCGGATCCTCAAGTGATCACAGGGCACTGAACCTAAACTTAGTCTAATAAGCCTTAAAATGGCAGATTGGCTAGAATTTACATTGTGATGCCATAACGTGTGTGTGTGTCGATGACGCACCCAAGTTTGCTTCAATCATGTCAGCATATTTGTAAGAACGCCACACAACTAGCACCACACTGGGGGGGGGGGGGTGTTGTTATGTATTAGCCTCCTCTGTAAGATTGAAGGCCATCTGTGGTTGTGGCTGCGCCAATCAAGCGCAGTCACGTGATTGGCCCACCTGGCACCGTGACAGTCATACACTGTATAGCATACACCTTATTGTACATGTAACTCATTTGTATTTATTAGATAAACGGTTACAGTTTTTTACAAGTTACAACAAAATCTATTTATTCAGGATGGTCTCATTGATCCTGTCTCCCACCGTGTGGCTGCAACAACTGTGTGTTGCCTGGAGGTCTGACAAGATTCCCTTCTTTACTCCTTAATGGCAATCAGATTTCTCCTTGGATCAACAACCAGTATGCATACATATCAATTGATAAGACAACCTCTTTTGGTAAACTAAATTACACAGTGTGACTTGATCTTCTGTCTTGTTGTTTATTATTATTATTTATTTTATAATTATACTTTAGTTATAAAGCGCCATCACATTCCACAACTGTCACGGCTACTAGTGTGGTCCAACACGCAGAAACTATGTAAATATATACATAAAAAAAGGAAAGGAAATAAGGACAGATGTGTGGCTGTATGGGTGTGTATATAACAGCAATCACCCACATGGTCCGGATCAAAAGTTTAACCCCTTAAGGACACATGACATGTGTGACATGTCATGATTCCCTTTTATTCCAGAAGTTTGGTGCTTAAGGGGTTAAATACCCTTGTATGTTTGGCCTTGTTACAGACACACAGGGTGACACACACAGGTTAAAATGGCAATTAAAGGTTAATTTCTTACACCTGTGACTTTTTAAATTGCAATTAGTGTCGGTGTAAAAAAGTTTGTTAACTCTCGCATGGATGCACTGAGCAGGCTAGGTACTGAGCCATGGGGAGCAGAAAAGAACTGTCAAAAGACCTGCATAATAAGGTAATGGAACTTTATAAGGATGGAAAAAATATAAAATGATATCCAAAACATTGAAAATGCAAGTCAGTACTGTTCAATCACTTATTAAGAAGAGGGAAATTCGGGGAACTCTTGGTACGAAGCCAAGGTCAGGTAGACCAAGAATGATTTCAGTCACAACTGCCAGAAGGATTGTTCGGGATACAAACAAAAACCCACAGGTAACCTCAGGAGAAATACAGGTTGCTCTGGAAAAAGATGGTGTGGTCGTTTCAAGGAGCACAATACAACGTTACTCGAACAAAAATGAGCTGCATGGTTGAGTTGCCAGAAAGAAGCCTTTACTGTGCCAATGCAACAAAAAAGCCTGGTTACAATATGCCTGACAACACCTTGACATGCCTCACAGCTTCTGGCATACTGTAATTTTGGAGTGATGCAAAATAGAGCTTTATGGTCACAACCAAAAGCGCTATGTTTGGAGAGGGATCAACAAAGCCTATAGTGAAAAGAATATCATCCCCACTGTGAAGCATGGTGGTGGCTCCCCAATATTTTGGGGGAGTGTGAGCTCTAAATGCATGGGGAATCTCGTGAAAATTGATGGCAAAATGAATGCAGCATTTTATCAGAAAATGCTGGCAGACAATTTGCATTCTTCTGCACGAAGGCTGCGCATGGGACACTCTTGGACTTTCCAGCATGACAATGACCCTAAGCACAAGGTCAAGTTGACCCTCCAGTGGTTACAGCAGAGGTTCTGGAGTGGCCACCACAGTCTCCTAACCTTAATATCAGGTAAATGCAAGACGACCAAAGACTTTGCATGACCTGTAGGCATTTTGCCAAGATGAATGGGCAGCTATGCCATCGAGACCATAACCCGAGAACATTTAATTTTTTTTATGTGAAGTCTGCAGCATATACATAGACCTTATCAATGGATTTAGATGGGAAGCAATCGTAGAGTAGTGTCATCTTTATTAAGTCAGTTTCAAAACTTCTTTTATAGGTATATTGAGTTCGATTTTGTTAGCAGAGTGAGGGTTTACTCTGCTTAGTAAACTGCAATTCCTCCATTAAAGTGTATTGGAAAATATACAGTAAGCTGACTTTGCTAAGAGGACCCAGTCCTTTATATCACCTGTAGATAAACATTCTCTTTATATACATAGTAACATAGCTAACATAGCTAAAAAGAGACATGCGTCTATTAAATTCAGCCTTTTTTGCATTACATTTTTGTTGTTGATCCAAAAGAATGCAAAAAACCCAGTCTGAAGTCCTTCCAATTGTGTAACAAACTAGGAAAAAATTCCTTCTTGACTCCAGAATGGCAGTCAGATATCTCCTTGGATCAAGAAGCTATTACCCCACTACAGACACTTCTCACTTACCGACCGGGTTCCGTTCCTATGACCTGGATGTAGAATGAGTTGGTCGCTAAGTGAGGAGTTAAGGGATTCCCACGAACATAGACATGCGCACTAGAGCAGGGAATCCCAACGACTGCTCGCACTTACGACCAGGTAGGTCGCTAAATGAGGACCACCTGTAATTAAAATTTATATCCCTGTATACTATGTTTTTGCAAGTATTTCTCCAACTGCTGTTTAAACATCTGTAAAGACTCTGATAAAATCAACTCTTCAGGTAGAGAATTCCACATACTTATTGTTCTTACTGTAAAAATCCTTTACTTTGCCTTAGACTAAATCTCTTTTTTTCAGTCTAAATGCGTGACCTCTTGTCCTATGTATAGTCAATACACAATAAAATCTTCCTCCTGTCTAAAAGAGATCTCTGTTTACATATCTCAGAACAGAATGCACCTGTAATCATGGTTGATTATATTTCTTACCTGTTCTGTGTTAAATGTGTATTTTAATATTACTTTGTATTTTTAATATTATACTGTACCGTGTTGTAACAAGGCAATGTTTGTTACGTGAAAACAAGAGAATTTTCAATGTATGCATAGTACTAAATTTTTCATAAAAAAGAAAACTAAATATGTCTTCTATTTTTAAACTGTGTCCCTTGCATTTACTGCTCACCCAACTAAACCAACCATCTCTTTCTAATTCAAATACTTTTCTTCCTGCTTTATGAGACAGTAAAATTCAGAGAGCTGCTGAGATGACATACAAAGTTGACATATAGGGTACCAAATGAGGAGCTCCTTATACGGCCTGGTGAGGGTTATTCTAGACTATAGCATCTGTTGTGGCCCTTTCTATTGCTTTTTGTTTTGTATTTATTCTCCTGCAGTTATTTTGTAATCTGTTTCTTTTTTCCTCTATTTCTATGTTTGCGCACCCTACTCTTGGATACAGCTGGTCTCAGTCCTTCGAGCCGAGCAGTGACAGGAGCGGACAGTCACTGACATTGTCACCTAGCCAAGACTTAAACAAGCAACAGACATTAACACCTTCACCCCCTAAAGGCTGTGAGCAAATATGTAACAAAACACCCCACAACTGCTGCAATACAATGAGTAGTTTAAAGGGAATTAAGATACCCATGTGTTAAAGCAATGTTAGATGATATGAGTGACTATTAATGAGTTGGTCACATTAAGGGCATGGATATTTGGAGTTTACACATTACTTTTTCGAATAATGGGTAAACCTACCATTACACAAAAATATGCGTTATTTGACTCTAAAAATATATATATTTGTAGAATATTTGTGCGAACACCATATTTATACTATTTTTCATTATCATTAATCTGTTCTTTGCCAATCTACCATTTTTAATATCTTTTATACAGAAATAATGTTTTTTTCTTTCTATAAATAGTATACTTGTATTAGTTTTTAGTTGTTGTATTTATGTTGCAATGTTATGAAGTTGATATCAGTACCCCACATTCCAAAGCTGCATGCTTTCTATACTACCCACTCATGTCATGTATATCTGCCCAAACACAGCACCAACTCGCTATCCCCAGAGTTACAATAGTCCTTTATTGTAAACAACTCCCCCTCCACACAGCAACAACTTTGGAATAATAATTGGATGAGAGTGTCAGACACCCACTTTTAATACATATTAACTTTTGATTCGCCCAATTGATTTTAGGTGCCATTTTTCTCACTCTCTTACCGTGTAATTTACACAATTTGGTAACTATGAGGTTAAGGGGTTTGGCATTGTTATCCCGAGAGGATGAATGTAATTTCGTGAACACAGATTTTGGTGGCATTTGGTGATAGAGAAGGGACAGTAACAGACAAGCTATCAGAACTCCACCACCTTCTACAATAAACCATGGGTAAGTAGATTAGTCATACCTATTATATCAAGAAATATCTGTTATAACTATATATTATATTTAATTGCAGAAAAATATATAAGCATAGTTAAACAGTTTCAAATGTTTTACCAGGAAGCAATTATTTATGGAAACTATTTATCTAAAACATCATACATGCATGCATGGAATGAAGTAGTAAACTATTTAAAAATAAATAGTCACTGGTATTGCATTTGCATTTTAAGTTGAGGTTCAACGAGACAGATATTTATAGGTATTTTAAACCAGTATTGATTCTTTATGGTAACTCCATATTTTGGGCCTCTCTACTAACACATTATTTACACATATTTTATATTATGGGTTATTAATCCTGTTGTCATAATGTTTTATTTTGCATTTGTAGCCCTTCATGTTGTAAATCCCGATTTGTAATTGTCTTTCTATCTATCTATCTATCTATCTATCTATCTATCTATCTATCTGTCTGTCTGTCTGTCTGTCTGTTTATTTAGCAATCTTTTTGTTTAAAAATATTTTATTTAAACCGTGGGTTGCCTTACTTTTATAAAGTGACCAAAATGCATTTTATATAATTACAGAGTTAGAAAAAATCTAGAAAATGTATGTGCACAAGCAGAAATGTTATCACTGCAGCAAAATTAAATGCAATGCATATCTAGAATTCTATATTTGCATCTTAAAGAACTACAAGAAAGCAAGCACATGCATATTGATAAAGGCGTAAAATGTTAACAAACATAGAATGTGACGGCAGATAAGAACCATTTGGCCCATCTAGTTTGCCCAATTTTCTAAATACTTTCATTAGTCCCTGGCCTTATCTTATAGTTAGGATAGCATAATGCATATCCCACGCATGCATAAACTCCATCACTGTGTTAACCTCAATACAATGCTGTATTTATGTTTGTTACAAAAAAATACAACTGTTGGAGTTGCACAGTAAAATATATTGACAAGCCACAAAAAAAAAAAATTATAATATAGAAGTACATCCAGCTTTGTTTCCTGAGAGCTGTAGAACAATACAAAATGTAGCTGACACATATCTATGTGCAGTTTGTTTTGATATTATGGGGATTTTGAGCAAATGAGAATGAGGGATGTCGTTTTAGGATTATTGTCTAAAGTAAGGTGCTGGAAACTTTGAGTGAGAGAGAGGTCGGAGTGCAGAAGACTCATGTTCTCAGTTCTATACATGGCAGTTGATCTACTCCAACTGTGTATTTGAAGTTGAAGAGAATGACCCGGACACATGAAAAGGTAGAAACACCAATCTTGTACGGAGATACACTTGAGAATGAGAAGAGAATCTGTGTAACAAAAGAGAACAATATGAGTAAAAGGAACAAAAATAAAATTAAGTCACATAAAAGGGAAAAATGGGAACTCTGGAGGAAACGCTTGGGAAAAAAAATATTTTTTTATTTGTGTCATTTACTGAATTGAACAGGAGGAATATGAGCAATTATTTGGCCTAAATTACTGCTAATATAGATTACCAAATGTTAATTCAAACAAGCAGAGTTTTTCATTAGAATGACCAATTTCACCAAATCGGAAAAATTCTCCTAGGCAGATACGGTTACAATTCAGATATTTTGGTTAAAAATAGTGCCACACAAATATGATTAGTGTAAGCGCTGGCAGCTTTGAAATGAACATGAAGAAAATCCATAATTTGGTCAACAATAATTGCAAAGTAATGGGACTTATCTGAGCGCTCTAAACAGCAGCCTTGTTACAGCAATTTGAGACAAATTATGATTGTGTAACATTAATATTCATTTCAATGCTAAAAACAGTGATCATTATTCTTTTTTTGCCTTACAAGTTCATTCAATAATGGGAGAATTGTTGTACATTTAAATTCATTTAAAATTTTTTCACAAAAAATAGTGGAACTGAAACTGTACATGGGAGAATTTTTCCAGTTTGACAATTTTGGCTAACCTTTGAATCCATTGAACTTTATTGAATTTTGTGTTATAAATCAGTAATTCTTAGAAACATGTTAAAATCAATATAATCTGTACAGGTTGCGGGTATGCACATAATTGTACTGCAAACCACTCTTAATTAAATAATTTAGAGATATTTTTAAATTATTTTTGAGTCTTACAGGGATTTTCACAAAAGTGAGAATTTAAAGTGAATTTCAAATATAAGGCCAAAGTAGCCGAACTGCAAGCATTAACTGTTTCCAGTTTAGCTATTTTTGCCTAGAATTTGAAATTCACTCTGAATTCTCACTTAAGTAAATAACACTGTGTCTAGTTTATCATTTCATAGTACATCTCCCCTTTTTGTGCAGCATATTTTTGATCTCTTGATTACTCAAGAAGGCCTAGAGAACTGTGAGCACAATAATAGGATTCTTTGGAGGTTGCAATTTTACTGTACTTACTGTTTAACTGTACTTACTGTGGACACATATAAATTAATATTCAGATATTAATGTTACATTCTGGTGGCATTCTAAAAAAAAAAAAAAATACACCCAAACTCTTGGCAGGTGTATTTCACATATTTATATGCAGATTATTCAAACATTTTAATGAGTTATTTAGATACAAATAATGTACGTGACAAATATGTATTCCTGCTTCCCTGCTCCTATTTAGAGATAAGGTCTGATGAGGTATATTTTTAAATCTCAAACTTTGTTTCTCCGCAGCATTTCTCCCTTTTCACACTGCAATGAGTGGAATATTTACAAGGGACTTTTACTTTTTTCTTTTTACCTTCATGATCATATTATAAAGGATACAGTTAATGTGGTCCTTCCTAGAGGCAATGGTATATTTCTAAAACTGACTGATACGTTTTCATTAATTGCTACAATGTGTTTGACACTTTGATATAGCGTGCAACCATAAAACACCATGAAGGAATGGAAGAAATCTTGCTTATAATATTGGTCAGAGACGTACCTAGGGTATTTGAAAGATTTGTTTGTTGGCAGTTTCCCCCCCCCAAAAAAAATTTAAAGTACCCCACAAGCACCAAAGACAGTACAACTCATTTTGGTGTTTCTGGTTCTAAGAGGCTATGGATGCAGTCTTTCTGGGTTTTTTTTCTTTTCAAACCATTTTTAAGTAGTTTGTAAAAACCTGAGGATACTAACTTGAATCTCTGCCTAGAACCTTGTGGTATCGATATCCTTCTCTGTTCTTCCTACTTATGTCTCTGCATTCCATTAAACCCTGTGAGCTTTCCCCTGCCTCCCATTTACCAGTATTGTGGCATGGGTAGGTGCGACCGCAGTAGAACTTGAGCATATTTCTCTGCAGTGACGAGAGAGGCAAAATATGACTCAATTTGCATGCTATACACTCAGAGCTCCAAATATATACTGGGCAGAGGAACATTCTCATCCTCTGCCATCGTCCTTGATTGTCACAACACAATATGGTAGAGTTCCCCTAGATGTCACCTGGGGTATATCACCACATGCTCATCCTTGGTATGCTACTGATGTACAAAGTTCTCAATAGGGGGATCTCAAACAAGTTTTATCTTCTATGTTTAATTACAGAGGTAACCTGTAACAATAACAAGATGTTAAAAAGTATGTTTATCCAACAACACCCAATGGTGTTTTCTTGTACAAATGTGGCTGTTTCACTTGAAGGTTACATGCAAATAATTCATTTATTTTAGGAGAGCTAATGGAAGCTCTGGGTAGGAGCTTCTTGCTCTCAATGGAGGCTGAGACTGGCCCATAGTGGATCCCAGCTAAGAAGTCCAACTATAGCAAATGGTTTGACTACTTATATTAGGAGGACTCCAGGGCACATCTGGCACCATAATTACTACAGTGCACTGTACGCTTTACAATGCTAGCCGTGTTCCTTTAAATCGTCTGAATCGTATGATAATTTACCTACTCAGAAACAGCTGAATTGTAACCTGACACACAAAACCTACCTTCATCTTAACATTTTTTTTATCATTATAATTTTTTATAATTGGCTTTGGATCATCATTCAGTTTCCTTTAAATTTGGATCCTAACGGCACACTCCATTGCCCAAATACAAAACAAATAAACAGCACTGTTTAGTAGATATACCACAAATGAAAACTTAAATGCATTAAAAAATGCATTTTTTTCATTGGGGTATATTGAAAACAGCTTGCAAAACTCCCCTTCTAACCCCGTCCAGACTTTCTGTTTCTGTCCAATCACAGACTTCCAATGCAGCTCAATGAGAAGTCTTTGCAAGAACTCCTTAACCTTTTGTCCATTTCACAAAATGTGCAGCTTATACTCACAATGTAGAAACAATATAAGAAACAGAATAGCCAACTAGGCAATTTATTTATTTTGCTGTGCTCTATTTTGGAGGCATCCACTTACTAGCTCCTTGTTAATGCGTTTATAGTTCCTGCTGTCCTGCCTCACTGAACAGTTCATAGATCCTGCCAATATAATCTCGTCAGATTTTACAATGTTAATAGATCTGGTCCCAACTGAGCCTCATTCTAGTTTGTTCCTACCTCCCTGGCTCAGCAATGTTTCAGTGCCTACTGGTGCCCATTGGTGGGCAAGCACTTTGTTTACAATGTCCTAACATGCCTCATCCTGAAAACCAACTAGATCCATCTATTTATATATCCTTAGCCTAATTCAATAGACTAAAATTTCCACTAATGAAGACGATTTGCACTAAGTGAGCATGTGGTCCACACAGATATGTCCTATGTTACCACAACCCAACAAACTTAACAGAAAAATTAGAAAAATCCGTTTTGACTGTGATTTCTTAAAATTACATTTGTCTGGGGTGTAGCCTGACAGACTCATTTTGACGGAGCTCCTCACTTATACTTATAAGTTATTTTCCCTCTCCACATGAAATTGATAGTGACTTACCTAATCTCCGGCTTGGTTGGTCTATCTTAGAACAGCTGATACCCGTATTGATAAGTATGCTAACAGAATTTTCTGCTCGACATAATGCAACCTAGTGAATGCATCAAACGGGAGAGGCAGCCGATCTCCTGGCCTGCAATGATCTGAGCCCCAGCTGAGTTATTCTAGTGCCCCATTGACCCCCTCTTTGGGCCTGGTGGTTTTATCTTGGTCTACACCTCGGAGGCTCTACTGCTAAACCACAAATCCGTGGAGATGCTGACAGTTTAAGCAGTCACAGCGTCTCATCTAAAATGACAGATGCCATGTGCCCAACTGATTACTGCAAGGAGCAAGTTGATACCTTATCTGAGCTAGACAGAGTCTTCGCAGAGTTCTGTAAGAAGCTGAGCAGGGGCGGAGTAGCCACTCACTCCAGAGATCCCTTCTGAAGATCCAGTTTGAGACAATGGTTTCATCTCTGGGGCTGACCAAAAAAGGCAACTGGAACAGATCAAGACAGCAGAGGTATGTTCCGCCCATTATTAGGGCTCGATCCTTGGGAGCCACATCTCAGGTCTCTTAAGGAAAGTAGTAAACAAGAGGGGACGCCAGAGGCCTCACCAGCCCTATCTCACCACCCCACTTGGATGCCACATCTGCTTGGGCTATCATGCCTGAAGTTTATCATACACTTGGGCTATCATGCCTGAAGTTTATCATACACTTGGGCTATCATGCCTGAAGTTTATCATACCAAAACTGAACTATTTTATGCCGCTGGAGAGTATCGGCTTAACTGGGTTCTAGGACTGGGACTCACACTGACATATTGTGACCCATCTCCATGTCTCCAACATGAGCCAGTATAGAGCAACCTTTTTATTTTGATTATGTTTTCCTTTTATTCTCATTGTTTTACCTGTTACATGATTTGCTCTTACGTCTGTTTCTTTTTATTCATATGGTCATTTGCAAACAAATAGACCACAACGAAGGCCTCCTGGGTGCATTGTTATATCCCTGTCAGTTTTGCAATCCAGCTGTAAGTTTTTGCTTTATTCTGCATAGCCTATGCCTTGTTGAGCTGGAACATATACTAAATACAACACATATTAAAGTACTATAATACACTTCCCCAAAGTGTTCTCCCACACCTTAACAACACAATACTGGCGCACACAATACTTCTCTTAGATGTGAATTACAAAGTCTACAAGAAACAAAAAACGAAGGGATGGTCCAACTGGTTATAAGATGTAGGATATAAATAATAATTACATTCACAAAGGCAGAGCCGGTTTAAGCACTGGGTTCTAGTGCAGGAAGCAGCAGGATTAAGGGCAATCTTAATCCCTCTTCAAGTACATATCACAGGTGTAGATGCAACAGGAATAGGAAAGGCTCAATAGTATAATACTGTGTATACACATATAAGGCATATCACTGCAACACTGGATACACTGATGTGGTGATGAGTCTGGTGAAGCTGGCCCAACGCTACAGTATCCGATGTAAGTCAAGGAGGGTGATCTACTCCAAAGAAGATGAAGTCCACAGGCTTAAGGTTAAAAACTGTAAATATTATTTATATCCTACATCTCCAGTTGTACCATCTGCACTATTGTCTCTCCATTTTTGTTTCTTGAAGTTCTTGGTACATATACTAGCCTATTGTATTGCTATATATCTAAACTACCTCTCAGATGGCTAGGTAGTAATGGCATTACTTGTTAATTTGTACTTAACTCTGCCTTATGGGTAAATTTCTTTAAAAATAATGCATTGTTCATCTGTATACAGAAACGTTTGCTATATACACTACTTGTGACATGTTGCAACGATATTTGCCTACTCTTATTGGAATGTATAATTCTATGTGTCTGAAAAAATTAAATCAAATTGCCGACGACCTACGTCTATCCTCTGTTTGTACCCCCAACTCTGCTGCCTGACTTCAAGATGAAAATATAAAAAATGTTTGTCTTTTATATGTACAAATTGAGCAACTATTAATTATAACAAGATACACAAGAAACAACCAACTTGTTAATTGACCAATGCTTAGTATGGAACATCATTTAACTAATTCATCTCTAAAACGTGATATAATCTTTGTAACATATGTAGTATGTGCCAGTGTCATAAAAGCTTGGGCAAAATGACAAGCTTTGTAAAAGAAAAGGACCCATGTTTGTTCTTTTAAATACATTTTAAAAGATTTCAATATTGTTTTCGTGAGTCAAAGTTAACAGAGTCTGTATCTAAACATTGACCCATCGTGGATGCTCAATGACACACTGTGCAACTACAGTCAGTTTAATGCATTGCATGTTGTCTGTGAGTAGGACAGTCTTCACTAATATGTGTTCTGTGTGCAAGAAAGGGCCATTTAGTTGTACCCGGCTCCTTCGCCCCAATGTTAAAGTTGCCAAGCCTCCTTTGGGTGCCAGAATATTTTCACAGTTTGGTACAAAATACATCCAATTCTTTATCACATTTCATTGACATTGTGTATTCATGATCTTTTTATAAATACACAGCATCATACAGGGCTGCATGCACACCATCACTGCATTCTGTTTGTTTCTGTAGAGTTGAAGGGGAGGTAGGAGGGGTCTAGTGCAATGATGTGCCAGCCACAGTGTTACCCATTTCTTTTAGTCCCTTGTTTGTGTGACAGAGCCTAATTGTTGTCTCCATGTGACTGTATGTGGGTGTATTGTGAACATGTGGAATGGCATCACAAACACATAATAGTTTGTATTTTTAGATATTTGCATATATAATGCACATATGCTCAAGCACATATATATTTTGTGCAAAAGTAAAAGAATTTAGTATGCATGTTAAGAACTTGAATGCTAAGTATACATTTGCAGAGTTTGTTGTGTTTTTACTTTGTAATATATATCTTTCAGTTGGCATTGGTGGCAAATAATTATTATATAGTTACATAGTAGTCTAGGTTGAAAAAAGACTAAAGTCCGTCAAGTTCAACCTGGACTTTATCAACAAAGTTGATTGTAATGGTAAACAAAAAAAAGGGGAACATGCTTGGTGGGGGTGTATCCTGTAAGCATTATATGACCACAGCTAAGATATCCCCAATATTTTCATTGTTAAATAAAGGGTTAACAATCCAGAACATCCAGTTCAACACTTTGTGTTTGCACATAAATTATTAGTCAACATGGACTCGGTAAACAATTTCACTGCACAATGTGTGTTAGTCCTTATTGGCACCTTAAAAGTTAATTCTGAGGAACACTGTTACTGTTGTGAACTACAAAGTGTTAACATTGTGAGGAAACAGTGTGTGTGTGTGTGCATCTAGGATGGACTTAAAGTGTTAATTCTGGCCATGTTTTACTGTTAGAATGGCTTTCCTTGGTCTCTTGGTTGTCTGGCAATCCCCTTCCAACACTCACCAGTACACTTTTAGGAGCTTTACCGGTGAGTTAAATGTATCACTACAAACTAGTGAAGCACAGAAGCTGGGCAGCTGTGTTACAAGGGCACACTGGTATTCCAGTGCATATTGTTCTGCTACCTGTTAACTGGAATGCTTGTTCTCTGCATGGTAGGTAGGTTCAGGGGTGATCTAGCAATGTGACAAAGCTCGGTTCTTCTTTAGATTACCTTAGGTATACATAAAAACTGTTTCCCGTTAGCCATTTGCTCACCATAGCCCAGACAGCTTTGGATAAATGGTCTGTGGTTATCCAGCATTTTGATTAGTATTAGCTAATTAGCATTATCACCCACTGTTTCACTGCAGTCTCCTGCATTATCCCCACACTGCTTTACTTGACTGTACCATCCTTTTATAATACCTAGTACTATATAAATATCTTGTCTGTTGATCAATGAACCAGTTGTTTTGTCTCTGCACTAAGCCTTGTCTTGTTTGGGTTGTTTGGGAGAGCTATTTATCATTCCATCCAGTGTCTAGCTGATAGTTCCAGGATACAAATAAAGACATTTAACTAGGTGAGTAGGGCTCAGGTACCAGATTGATGCAGTGGCTCCTCAAGGTTCCAGGTGGCATGGAAAGGGGACAGATGTATTAGCAGGTGCAGGTCTGGACCCCAAGTCAGAGAAACCTCAATAGCTATCCATTTGGTTAGTTCCCACTCAGCTCTTAAAATAGATTTTGCTCACTTGTGCCAATACAGAGAGAACTTATAACATTTGCATATCAAACTTGTCAAAATAACCATAGGCTCAGCACGCAGAGCTTTAGTCACACCTAGTTACTCATACCTAGATAGAAGTAGAAATGGACAGAGGCATATCACAGATCCTTAGAATTGGCCGGGTTTAACATTAAAGAATAGAAAATGATCAGTAACTAGCGGAGGTTAAGGGCAGCAGTTGGTGAGCACGGTGTCCATTACTGTATTACCTTTAAGGGACAGGTGTTCTGCAGAGAAAAAATGTTTAACATGACTTTTAATGACCTAATGCTGCTCTGTTACAACATTCTTACAGTGATGTCCGATCCATGACAGTTCATGGTACCACACACCATTCACTAGCCATGTTCCTGTGCCAATATAACCTTGGCAAAAGCCATGTTCTTGGTTATTCTGTAAACATTAGCTAAACAAAAAAATATATTGAGAATTCAATACATTTGCTAGTAATATCGCTAGCACGATGTATAGATGAAATTGCCTGCAAAATCAGAATATGTAATAACAAATTTGCAGTGCAGGTATCATTTCAAGATGTTTTATATATATCACAATCTTGCTAGTTCTTCATCTTGCTAAATCCTCATATCTCTTTCCTGTATGTCCTGTTCATCTTCATATTCCTTCTGTTTGTTTCTCTCATTCCATTACAGGCTGGCATGATGGATGTGTACGTTGCATGGTTGGGGTCCCCTTTGCTTCAGTCATTGCCACGGTTCTTTGTTTTGCTGGAGTGGCTCTGTTCTGTGGCTGCGGCCATGAAGCTCTCTCTGGAACTGAGAAACTGATTGAGACACATTTTTCCAAAAATTACCAGGAATACGAGTACCTCATACATGTGTGAGTATGATTTGAATATTTTACACTAACTTTTCTTTTGCAGTCTGTAAAATAAATTTATTTTTAATATGCAGTCCGCACTTGTAATGCCAATTTATCTAATCGTATTGCAGTTTGCTTTTATACAGGATAAAAATGAGTCACCAGAATTTCTATTAATAAGGCTTGGAGTGGTACCTGAGAAGGATTAAGATCCTACAGGGCCCTATGCAAGTTACCAGTTTGGGGTCGCTCCTTTAGTTCTTCCAAATTCATCCTTCCAGGCCTCTGTCTAAACCCTTGTCTCCTTCTGCTCTGATGGGTATAGTTAAAAAGGTGTCAGAGACTTTAATATCCATTCACTCACTGTCACATTGCAATAATGGATAAGGGCCATGGAAGTGGTGTAGTTTCTGTTGTTTTCATGTCTTACTCTACTCTTCAGAGTAAAAATCTATGTTATGAGATCTCCTTTAATCCTTTCGTAGTGTACTCTAAAGTTATTATTCTTGCCAGTCACATTCCCATCTGGAATAATTGTAGGACATCTTACAACTTGCTGTATATATCCCAAGCCATGTTGTAATAACACTTTATCCCACTGCATTAAAACCCTGCCACCACTGGAATACCCCACATTGTCCTGTATAATAAACCCCCAATATGCATTAAAGAGGCACTGTCACAAATTATATACATAGATGTGTTATTTCTCCCTCAGCATTGCAGGGAATTCTGGGCTAACAATAAAATATTACCTACATTAAAATCACAGCTTTTCAGTTTCCCACTCAGGAATCTAGCTCCTGCTAGCAATACCTCTTCTCAGCTGTTAAAAGAATCTATATTAATATGATTTGTATCTCTCATCTGATTCTAAATTATATTTAACTCTCTATATAAAATAATAGATCTCGCAGAGCTAATAGACGCAGACCAAGTAGGCTTTATACCCGGCAGGCAATTGTTTGAGAATACCCGCAGAAACATTGACTTCATATGGAAACAGGCAGCCACCAATACTCCAACATTGTTGTTCTCGCTCAATGCAGAAAAAGCCTTTGATAGAGTCCAATCACCCTATCTATTTACACTTCTGTCCCATATAGGTTTCCCCAAACAATCCATAGCCCTAATAAAAGCCATGTACACCAATGTCCGTGCACAGGTAAAAATTGCAGGAGCCCCGCTCCGACCATTTCAACTTAACAATGGGACTCGACAGGGGTGTCCCCTCTCCCCTTTTTCTGTTCGTACTTTTGCTCGAACACCTGCTCCAGGCTCTGAGGAAACACCCAGATATAAAGGGCGTTAGGGTGGGAGGGAGAGAGTTCCTGGTATCGGCCTATGCGGATGACGTGCTCTTGACGCTCACCGACCCCATGGGTTCACTGAGAGCCCTCCAAGACATCCTACAGGAATACAGAAACATTTCTGGTTACAAAGCCAACATGACAAAATCCAGCGCCCTTCCAATAAATATCCCAGGGGGCGATGTGACCTCAATACGAAATACACACAGTATATGCGTCGTACACCAGTCACTAAAATACCTAGGCATACACCTGACTGCAAAACCAGCACAGTTATATAACCAAAACTATACACCGATGATCAAAACGTTAACCAAGGAAATGGAGACTTGGACAGACAGACCTATTTCATGGATAGGACGAATCCACGCGGTAAAAATTAATATACTGCCTAGGATTCTCTACCTATTCCAAACTATACCCATACACATTTCGAAGACGCAACTACAGCCCTTGCAACAAGCAATAGGGACCTTCATATGGCAGAACAAACGCCATAGGATCTTGAGACACATATTGTATAGGCCGAAAACTAGAGGTGTACTAGGCCTACCTAACCTATTTTTCTACTATGTAGTGAGTCAATTAGCACAGGTAGTAATGTGGCACTCTCCCCCGGGGGAAAGGAAATGGGTGGATTTAGAATCCCTCATGGTGGGAGCGGACCTGCCATAATTTCTCATATGGGTGCCCAAAACACATAGACCCATGATCAGATCCACGTGCCCGACCATCCTTAATTCCATAAGAATGTGGGACTCCACCGCACATAAAAATGGCTTAGCGTCGGCCCCCTCTCCTCTTATGCCATACCTACGCAATAGAGAATTCATACCAGGCATGACAGCTAGAGCTTTCCGGAATCTAGTGAGAATAAGCCTACAACGCATTTGCCAGTTATATCAGGGTGCAGAAATCATCCCATTCGACACCTTAAGACAGAGGGGCCACCTTACACCAGCTGACTTCTTTCGATACCTACAAATCAAAGACTATACAAAAATGCCACACATACAAGCAGCAGCACAAAAAACAATATTGTTTTTTGAACACATATGTATACAGGAAAACATGCCCAAAGGCCTGATAACACTCCTATATGCTCACATATGTTCGGAAACCAGGGATTGGGGAAGTCTCACATACACAGCTCAATGGGAAAGAGACCTAGGGGAGGAAATAGAGGGGATAGAATGGCAAGAAATATGGGAAGCTAATAATACCTCTTCCGTATGTGTCACATTACAAGAGCAATCCGTAAAAACAATGCTCCGATGGTATACCACTCCTGTTAAATTATACCACATAAGGAAGACTCCTACCGGCTTGTGCTGGAGGGGTTGCGGTATAAAAGGAACCTACATGCATATGTGGTGGGAATGCCCAATGATTAGCAGATTCTTGACACAAGTCAGGGACGTAATAACCCAAGTTTTCTCCAGGGCCCCAGATCTAGACTTATGGCTGTACTTACTAAGCAGATCAATAGATGGGTGGACTCGGAGTGAACAAAAACTTATACCCAAAATCACCCTAGCAGCAAGGAGGGCAGTTGCGTCAGATTGGCTCAAGCAGAGTATCCCCTCGGTAACAGGGGTAATCACTAGAATCAAAGAAGTACATCTAATGGACGATCTAACAGCCAGGGTGAGAGGTACCCAAAAGACCTTTCAAAGAATATGGGAACCATGGGAGGGCTGCCCCCTGGGAACATAGAGAGTGGCTGGGCGCCCCTCCCCCGCCTCCCCGCCTTGCCCCCCCTTCTGTATCTTTTCCCACTTTTCTCTCTCTTCCTCCATCTCAACATCTACACTCTCTCTCCATACCTTCTGGAAAAACTGACTAGGCTCAGGGGACCAAATCCAAACCTGATGACCCTACTAGGGAGAAAGAGTAGACGCCGGCATTAAATCTCTGGACTTCATATAGCTATCACAACAGCTGATAAGAGTATCATAAACCACAAATAAGCGGACGCTATAGACAATAAGCAAGGTACACTAGCAGGGTCACGGCCAAATGAGAAACCGGCCTCTTTAGAGTACATCGACAACGAGATAGGTCAGAACTCAGTAAGCATAAAAATGGCTCACACCCAGAGGTGTTACTTTCCGTTTATGTTGTTTTGTTTTTTAAAAAATAAACTCAACATTGACCTATGATCTACTACCAGAGAGTCAGACATGAGTACCTGAAATCCAAAGATCCTGTAAAATACACCATGTGGCGACAGTGATGTTCTGTTATTCGAACACGTTGTGAAACGTAATCACCAATTGTTCATATTAACACTGTACTTAACCGCAATGTCAAATACCTATGCATGTCAGTTCTTTATGTCAATGTTAAATAAAGAATTATAAAAAAAAAAAAAAAATAGTAGAAACGAATACATCATAGGAATATTTAATTGATGATCATCTTCTCTGTGCAGGGTTAATGCATTCCAGTATGTGATTTACGGCATTGCAGTCTTCTTCTTTTTGTTCGGCATTCTGCTTCTGGCTGAGGGATTTTATACCACGACTGCCATTAAACACATCTTGGGAGAATTTAAGCTTCCTGCCGTAAAGGGAGGCCTTATCTCTACTGTGACTGGTGGACCACCCAAAGGACGAAGCACAAGAGGAAGGCATCCAGTGCACACACTAGAGCTACTCTGTCGTTGTTTGGGAAGGTGGCTTGGACACCCTGACAAGGTGACATCACTTTTCAACGGGAGAAATATAATTAGCTAATAATCTAACATTTCATGGATATTTTCAAATATCATCTTCTTATCAACTTATTGATAAAATTAAGAAAAGAACCAACATTATTAGAAGTACATACAGTAACAATCAGAACGAAAATCAAATTGGAGAGAAAAATAACTGCATATAAAGGATTTCGGGCACTCTGACACAGGGTGATACTTTTTTTCAGATAAGATGGTGAACCCTGGTAGATTGGCTAAAGCTCTCTCCAGAAAAAGCAAATGGCTTACTAGAGCAGATGAAATATTTATTTGAGGTTTCAATATCTCAGGAGAAAGTGTAAAACCAGTTTTCATCAAAGGTTAGACAATCTATTAAGGTTAGAGGGGTGCTCTAACCAACCTAACACTATAGGTCGTTGTAATAGTGAGGTTGTTGGAACCCCCTAGTGCCATTTCCTATTATATATCAAACTTAGCGACTCGTCTGTGTTATAAATATTAGTTTCCTCTAATATGAACAATATTTATTGGCTGCGAGTGCTAGGGGTGAGTTACTAGTGAGTTGTTGAGCATGGACATCTAAAACCCCAGATTTTTTACCATGACCCTAAACTACCACCAACACAATGAGAAGGGGGAAGGTTGGTAGTTTAATAAAACTGAACACAATTCTTCAGGAAAGTCATAGGAAAACAATACAGCGTACACTGCTTCTTCTCATTAATGGGATTGTGGGTGATATATTTAATGATATATTTAATGTATGTATTGTTTATTAGGTCTCATATTGGGGTTGCCATAACATGTGGACAATACCAGGGAGGTTTCAGGATAAATAAACTTTTCTCTAGATAGCTACAATGAATGTTTCCTAAACAGGAAGCATCTCAAACTCTGGCATCAGAACTTTTAAAGCACAGTTGTCTTTCACTCACAGAGGGTCATTTACTAAAGTGAGAATTCAAAGGGAATTCAATGTCAATGTCAAATTTAGGGCCAGAAAAGCAAAACTGGAAAATAATTTCCAGGTACGTTATGCTTTCAGTTTGGCTACTCTGGTCTTGATTTTCAAGTTCACTTTGATTTAACTTTGAGTAATAGTCTCTTTTAACCCCTTTTGAAACCTTCAACGTCAATGAATAAACCCCTCTTTAAATGGGATCCTCTTTTCCCTGTGTTGCTGTTGTGTTTCTCCTCTGTAGTTTGTCGGTGTAACCTATGCCGTCACCATCCTGTGGATATTGATACTTGCCTGCTCTGCTGTACCTGTCTACATTTACTTCAACACTTGGGTGACCTGCCAGTCCATTGCCGTGCCTGGAAAGACTTCTGCCAGTATCAGCACACTCTGTGCCGATGCCCGGATGTATGGTATGTGTGTGGATCCCACAAAATATATAATCCGTAAGTCGGACTTGATTCTATGTATTTCTGTATGAGGTGACCTTTTTGCTGTGTTCTCCTATAGGTGTCCTTCCATGGAATGCTTTTCCTGGGAAAGTGTGTGGAACGAGTCTCCTAGCAATTTGCAAAACAAGCGAGGTTAGAATATACATGTTAATCTGGCTTCTGTATAGCAAATTTGGTACTACTATGAGTCTGCTTTCTTGGTTTGACATAGGATTAATAATTAATAAATAATTTAATGTAACCTGAATTTAACAAAATGGAAAAGCTATTGTCCTTGGGTGAATTTTGGCATTACTACATATTAAATAAGACTTTTTTTAAATTTCAGTTCCAGATGACATTCCATCTTTTCATCGTTGCATTTGTGGGAGCAGCAGCAACTCTTGTAGCCCTGGTGAGTTACATGTTAAATGATTCCTCAACAAACCACAAAATATAATATAAGGTCCCTTAGTACAATAGAAATCTGAATAAGGGGTGCAACAACACTTTCAATTACAACAAGAGATCCTTTACTATGACAATATTCTAAGTTCTGATTTTTATGAACTTGATTAAACAGCACTCAAAACACTGTCAGTCATGTAAAGGATCAATATTTGGAAATGGTAGTGCACTAGAACATTTTTCCTTTTTCTCCTTAATCCAGGTCCATGCCTTCACATATCATCCTTATTTGAGTACTCTCACCACTTAAAAGGACACAACAAACACCAAACGCACTTTAGCTTGATGAAGTGCTTTATTTGTGAGGAGTGTGTCCTCTTTATTCAAAAATTGTGCAAAAAGTGCAGATTTCAATAGAAATTGACACTTTTACAAATTAACCTTTTTATACCCAATGGCTGTTAAGCAGACAACACACCGAGAGTGGAACTTAACTCAAGAAGAAGGTAAATGTTCAGAGCACCTGCCTTGTAAAGACTTCTCATTAAGTTGCATTGAGAGGTCTGTGATTGGACAGCCACAGAAAGTCTGGGTGGGGTTAGCATGGGAGGGCTTGCAAAGGCTGCTAATAATAGATATGCATTTTGTAAGCTGATTTTAGATATACCCTCAGTGAAGAAAATGCATGATTAAATGTGCATGTTTTCATTGTGGGTTTATGTGCAAAATATATTGGGGTATATCTACTAAACAGTGCTTAATGTATTTTGTATTTGGACAGTGGGATGTCTCTTTACTGTCTATATAGATTCCCTTATTTAAATTGATCAGCTTGATTACACATTCATTCAGTTATCCTGCCAATTATGTTCTTTCTGCAACAAGATCTATTGGGTGTAAAACATTTTGTAAAAATATTCACCTAATCTGGAATTCCTGATACTGTTGCCCTACATTTAAACATAAAGATAAATCCACTGACAATATACTTCAAAGAAAACAGAATTTCTAATATGTTTACACTGCCCCATCTAAATAAAACTGTCCCATTCCCTGAAAAGTGGATTATCCAATCAGCCATTTTAGGCCTATTTAAAAAAAAAAAAAATTTATTATTCTTTAGTTTCTACAGACATCTGTTCACATACAATATACTAAAATAATGTTTAATATATACAATAACAGATCCATTTGTAAAATATGCTTAAAAAATAACACAGATGCAGAAGAAACGATGTATGAAACACAATATACAAAAATACAAACTACTATGACTATACAAAATTAACAGACATTTATTTAAACAAAACCAATTTTTTAAGGAGTTCTTTTACAAGATACTAATCACATATGTGGATATATTTATATTGGTTTTGTACATTTTCCTGGAAAACAAAGAGAAAGTCATTGCCAATGGGCCACTTCTAAAGAGGAATATAAGTAATGTCAATTAAATAAAACATAAGAGTTTATAAAACTGAGTATACGACGTGAGAGGCAATGTGCATATCAAAACACGAATTGTAGAAACAACTATGATATTAATTCAGTTTACATTCAATATATATTTCTCTCCTATATATTCCTTTTGCAGCTCACTTATATGGTAGGCGCATCATTCAACTATGCTGTGCTTCGAGTTACTGGCCGGAGCGATCGTTCAAAGTTTTAGACCCCGTGTCATGGGTTGCTAGAGAAATACAAAACCCTGCCTTCATAATCTTATTTGTGACTTTATAATATATTATTTTAATTTATTATTTTAATGATGGAGTTTTATTAATTTAGTTGGTGATTTAAACGGGTGACCTTTGTCTGCCCTTTTTTCCTCCATGTTTTATCTGATAGCTTCTAGTTTATTTTGAACACCATCTTGAATTACATTTAATCTCCTCTAAGGCAGCTTCTCCGTAAAACGTTTTAATTTCTAATAGAAATATGAAATATTGATTTGCCACATTTGATTAAATTATATGAATCCAGAAGCATAAATGGGACGTTGACATAATCAGTTCTTAACCACTCAATGCTTTCATTGTTTTTAATAGGCTTTTGACCCATACTTGCCCTTGTTTGTTCTACTGACCCTTTTCCCAGTTTTGGGGCTAGTTGTAGCCAGATAGATAATTTTCCTTTATAATGTTATAATAACATTTAAATTATTTATATTATGATCTACTCCAAAATGCTAACAGCCAAAAAAAGAATTTAGAGTGTGATACACATTTGGACTTTTAATGATAGAATATGGGGTCTTGATGCTAGAATAATTTGACCTCCATCCCTGTGACATAACCTTCATATACTGAGATTGTGCCCCCTGCACAATGAATTGGGTCCATAACAAAATGGAGGCACTGCGCTTTGCTCTTGCTTTAACAGTTATCATCTACACCATATTTGAAGGCCACTGTAGTTGCTTTTGTCACAAAATAATTAAAATTATTAAATAGCATCAACGGAGGAGACCCTCACTCAACAGTGAGCCCATAAACCTTTATTACATTCCTGCAAAACAGTAAATAAGTCACAACATGAACCTATTTCTCTATAAATTTGCTCAGTCGGCAATAACCTGAGGGGTTATGTTTCCTCATACACGACAGGAAGCTTAACATCATGAAGACTAATTATAAGTTTATCTGCATATACCTGAGCTCCATCATTCTCCATGGGACACTGTCCTACAAAAATACACTGTTGAATGTGTACTTTAGTGTTGCCTCCTACATTTAATATGGAATTTAGCAAAACCTTAATGGCTGTAGCAATTTGGTTTTAAAGACATTGGGATTTTTCGCACTGGTTAATTACGCACCTGCCAGTCTTACCCAGTGTACTACAAAGTACAAAGACAGTAGTTGATTTATCTAACTGTTTTGTGTAGACAGTGAGGAGGATCCGCACACTGTAATATTTTTGCTAGGTGCAGGGTCTCAGGTTTACTCTGGTTCTTAGACTATATAAAATAATTAAGTGAGTTGGGCAGCACAATCAACACAACAGTTTTTGCTGCAGTGGACCCAGCAACATTACAATTTAGGCCTTAAATATCTCATTCAGGTACCTGCTTAATAAAGATCCCACGAAGGGTTGAAAGATTGCTAGGTCCACTTATTAGAAACCCAGTTCCACTAAATCTGGTGTTTGGCTCCATTTTCACATTTTATTGTTAACAGAGGCCACATAACACGCGTTGGTTAGAGGAGAGTCAGCAACCCTTCCTCAAAAAATGTTTTGTTTCTACTTTTGTAATATTTCAAGGAGGGAAAAACATTCAGTCTTTGAAAGTAAACGGTTTTGTCTATTGCAACAAAGCAAAACTATTATTTTCGTATGAGCTACAATATATAAAAAATTAACGTTTCATAAATGCCTCTGTCACGCATAGCAATGCATTAATTTCTCAGCCTGGAATTTTAGTGAAACATTATATTGATTCATTCCAAATGTAAAATGTCTCCCAAATGAAAACGGGAAACTATTTCACTTAACTATTACATTTCTAACGAAAATGATGTTATAATTTAATTTTCATTTTACATAATGCATCAGAAAGTTCTTGTTACCCTCTCATTCAAAGTGATCTAGGAGAATCTGTGGAATTTTGAATTTCCTCAGATAAATATGATGCAGTTTTTTTCTTGATACTTTTTATCATAGAGGGTTTATTTATTAATCGTTTAAGTCCTGAATTCGCACAGGAGTGAAAATATGGGCAGATGATAATTTATTTATAGCTTAGGTCACACATGGGGGAGGGTTAATAACAGATTCAGGGGCCAGGAATCTCCATGTAGGAGGTGAGCCCACAAACTCTGCATGTCTTCATATTTTCAAGCTAATCTGCATCTAAAACACACGCTTCTTCTGTGAAACATACATAGCCAATTACAAAGTATTGATATAGAAAGCAGAGGGCAGCACAGTTACAGCAATTTAAAGCAACACTCCAACCACCATAACCACTATAGCACATTGTAGCGGTTTAGGTGACAGGAGTGCCCTCTCACCCACCCAGAGTAAGTAATCAATGCTTTTACAACTTACTTGGCTCCTGATGGGGGCTGCCAATGCTTTCCCTAGTGCTGGAAGCTTCTGTAAGAGTGCTCTCGGCCAATAAGAGCCATCCTTTATTACTGGGCTTAGGTCATTGATCAGAGCTTCCAGCAGCAGGGAAAGCAGCAGCCTTAAACAGTTTGACTGCTTACTGAGAGTGGGCACCAGGGTACTCCTCGCACTGCAACCACTAGCTTGAGCAAATCAAGCTGTAGTGGTTATGGTGCTTGATTTGTACTTTTAACATGAGTAGAGATTCATATTGCTCTGTGTTGGTAAATATATAAAATAGCATGCTTTTTTATCAAACTGCTTGATTATTCTGATATTTAAACTGCCTCTTTATAAAGCTCAGTAACCAGAGTGTCATGCACATAAACGACACATAGATTACACTATTTACTGGCAGTTAATGAATTTTAACGTTCTAAGGTTCTCTGTAGGGTTCCTAATGGTGCTCGCCCTGATTGTGTGTGTGTGTGTGTGTGTTGGTATGTATATCTATATGTATATCCATACACGGAGACACACATACAACACATACAGTAACAGGAGTCTTGCTTGAGAAGACAGTGGGCATTGAAGTTTAATATTTGTTTTCATTTCTTTTTGTTTGTTTGTTTTTCTTTTTTTTCTTTTGATGTGAATCACTAATTGTGAAATGTAAGAATTTCAAAAACAATTAAAATGTTTCTTTATCAAATATACGACCTGTCTGGGTGAATTTATTAGTATGGCAGGAATGATCAGGTGTTACTGCATGATGTCTTCCTCTATGTAATAATAATTGAGAGGTAACAAGCCACATTATTGACATATTATGATTACATGTAAATATAATTATGGGAAAACTAGAGTTCATTATCTAATAGCCACTTGTACAAGGAGGAGGAAGTAAAAAATGATTCTTTGATGTTAGAAAGTCTGGGCTTTTAACATGCCTTTTAGCTGTGCATGACTTTTTTTATAGTGTTTATTTTTTTGGTAAATTGCTGCAGTCATAATAAACCAATCTGACCTCTTTCAGTAACAGTGAGTTTCATCTGTGTTGTTAGGGTAGTGGCTATAGGAGCAAAAGCCCCAGGTATGTAAGTCTTCATCCCCAGGTAACTTCAGGTGGCATGATGCTATTGCTTTTATCATTTTGCATTAAGTAGCGGCTAATTAAAAGAGCACAGGTGAGCTTCAGTACTACCTGCCATCTACATTCATAGAGTAAAGGTAGTATGGCTTAGGAGATAGGAGACATGGGTAGAGAGACAAAATAGGGTTTATGGTGATGGGGACAGAGTCACAAGGAGAGAAAGAAATTGAGAGACATAGGACTGCAGAGGTTAAAGGATAACATTGGGGATTTGCTGTGTTAAGGAAGTGGTTATCACATTTTTATATAGACAGTTTTAGAATTTAGAAGTGACCATTTTAACGTGCTTGACTTATTTGTTCATTGCATCATTCCCAGCAAACAAAAATCCAGGAGGTAAGTTGCTTCTGAAATACTGGAACTACTTCTGAAATACTGGAACTTTTACCACAGTCAGATTCACTTAGGATTTGAAACATTTTGCTCAAACAACATCTATTAATAAGGAGGGTGTTTGTGTAAATCATACAAAAAACTGTATAGAACGTAGTAAAATTAAGCACAGTATCAACATCTTAAAGATATTCTAAAGTTATATTTAAAATTATAATTGAAGCACCAAAACAACTTTAGTTTAATGAAGCTGTTTTTGTGTATAGATCATGCCCCTGCAGTCTCACTGGTCAATACTCTGCTATTTATAAGTTAAATAACTTTGTTTATATATCTCTAACCATGCCTCCCCTGGCTGTGACTAATAAAGCCTCCACTGAAAAACAATTCCATTTTCCTACCAATCTTATAGCAGAGAGTTTTAACTTTAGACTTTTTTTTCTCCTGCTCTTTCAGTTGCACTTTAGTCACACACAGACGGCTGCTGTGGACTCTAGCAAGCAACTACCAGAGTAGGAGATAAGAATTTCCACATTAAACTCAGAGTACAATACGGAAAGTTTTAAATATTAGACCTCGTTTACAGTAATTGTGTAGGGAGCTATTTCAGTCACAGCCCTGGGAGGTGTGGCTAGGGCTGCATAAACAAAAACGTTTTAATTTCTAAATTTAAGAGAATTGAGCAGTGAGACTGCAGAGGTGCAATCTATACACCAAGACCACTTCATTAAGCTAAAGTTGTTTTGGTTTCTAGAGTGTCTCTTTAATGTTGACTTAAAATCTTGCAAACTTTCAAACGAAAAAAAAAAACCAAAATAAAAAAAATATATTTAAAAAGTAAGAATGGGAATTCCTCAGTGGATTTTTTTGTGCAATGTGTGTTTAGATATTTTAACAGAAAATTTACTTAAGAAACTCATAAAATGATAGGAGTACATCTATTTTGGTTAACATTTTCATTAGCTTATTATATACAGACCGAGTCAATGAAATGTTAGTGATCAATAAAACTTTTCCTATATTTTATAGACCAAGTCAACAATTAATTTACACTAAGCCTGGTTCAGTGTTGGACCAATGTTTGCGTGCATGTGTATATGACAGAAATATATAAGTAAGCTGCACTTAAAATACAATACGCAAAAAGAAAGGATAATAATAAGTAAATTCTCAGCTTTAAAACAGTAAAGAACGTAAATAGAAAATCTGATAAGTAAAACTATGCCACAATCTGTACATATTTACTCCGGAAGACAGTCACTAGAGGCTGGATTAACCCCAAATGTTAACATGTGAAGGGTTAAAACCTGAGGGACCTGGCACCCAGACCACTTCATTGAGCTGAAGTGGTCTGGGTGACTATAGTGTCCCTTTAATAATAATAATAAAAAAATTATGCTTACACTTAACAAGAGTAAATAATGTCCAAACCCACTCCAGTGGGTATTATGTTTTAAGCACAGCTTACTTATATAGTTTTATTCTATTTTATTAGTAGGTAGTGTGTCTCCTACAGAGTAAGCAGCAGCTGTTATATATTTTGATATATCTGTGATACTCACAGTCCTATTAGGCTTATTTTCAGTATATGTTTTTACTATGGAACCACTCTGTTTTAAAAGTACTTATGGTGTGCAAACATCAGGTTAAATATAGGGTAATGTAATGAAAAGGTCACTGCAAAAAACAGTTATCAAGGTCAAATCTTAAAAGCACAAAGTTATAGTTTTTTTTAAAATAAAAACAGCAAATGTAAAAATCTGAGTGGTGATAGGATTTGCATAGGCACTGGGGAAAAGTACATATTTCCACCAAACTAATACAATGGAATTAATAAAAATATTTATCTATAACAGCTTCTTGGAATTATGGAAGCATCAAAGAAGACTATTTAGATCATCACAGTATTCACTAATGTGTGCATTGTCTGGAATTCAAAGTACAGACTAAAATAGCCGAAATGGGAAAGTTTTAAGTTAGGCTACTTTGGCCTAAAATTAGAAATTCAATTTGATTTCAGTTTGAATTCCTGACAAATCACACAGTGATCAAACCTTTAGAAAATCACCAAAAAGGGAACTTTGAGGTATATCGTTTACTGGTGATATTCTTGTTAATCAGCGGTAGGTCATCAGAATATTTTAGGATTCCAAGCTGTAGGTAAGTTGTTAAAATAACTGTATTTTTGCCATTTTGTTGAAGGATAGGCAGTTACTTGTCCAGATTTTATGAACCCAAAGGCAGACACTGGTCTCCCTTTTCTTTCAGATACACGCCCTCATGTGTCTTTCGGCCAACAGGGTGTACCACCAACACGCCCTAGAGACGGGAAAAAGCCGGGACACTCCACAGGCTGAGAGCTCAGAGCTCGCTGAGATTCTTCCAGAGCCCCCCCAAAGGAGCGCAGAGAACCTGGTGTAAAACGCCTGTTTTGTTTGGGGTGTCCCGGGTAGCATATCTGTGCCGGCTGTTTTAAATATAAAGTAGGGAAGTTTTATTGATCATATATCCATTTTATTGACAACGTACAGCAGCAATACAAATGATTTTTGATTGTTTTTCTAAGGTACCTGTCAGACTTATTGAACATTGCTAAAGTATTAATTTTGCAAAATACTAAATGCCACATTTTAACAGTCTTGTATCATTCAAAGGAGTCCTTTTGTGAGTGTTATTTCCTTTGTCTTTTATGTTTATTGTATATTACTTAAATGTTGGAGTCATTTCTATCCCTGCAACCTGTGATTTTTCCACAGATGCACATTAAGCTACTCCTTTTTTTGTAGCAATTCTCCAAAATTTGACATTTTTAAATGTTTTTTTTTCTAAAAAAAATCTTTGTTCATCATTGTAATTTTGTGTTGTGTATTTTTTTTCTATATTTTAACTGAATGTTTTTAGTGTGCATTTTAGAATTTGTCAATTTTGTTCATTTTCCTTTTTATAATTTTTTATTAAAATGTATACACCTTTGAGTAATAAGACAAACAAGTTTGGTCTTTAATACCTTCTAGACACAGAATATTATGTGGCTAAAATGGTCATTTATCAAAAAACAAAAAACAAACCCAAACCTAACAAACCATAAACCTTTCAGTAATTGGTAGCTAAAATGTTCTCTCACAGTGAGCAATCATATTTGTGGACACTCAAGGTTCTCTAATTTATGTTTATCACAAATGAGCCATGTCATGTTCTCAATGCAGGGTAAGTTGAGTGGATGTTTATGTCTCAAGTTTGAAGTCTGAATGAGTAAGTGATGAGGATGGAGAAGGTGTCGATATCAGTCCATACTACCAAAGGCTTTGTGCAGGTTTATCTACCAAAATGGAAGAATAAAAGCACAAATTAAAATGTTAATTTTTTTCAATGGTGGTATGGTACAGCATAAAAGATCATTGATTTGCACAATAAAAAGTAAAGAATATGGCAAAGATAACAGTGTGCACAATTATTCAGTAGATATACCTACTAGATATCAGAGTATTGAAAGCAGTGACCATTTGAAATTTCGGCTGAAATGTATAACTATTAAAATTATGTAGAATATATATAAAAAAAAAATATAAGAATAAGAATTGGTTCTGACCAACAATACCCCAACACGTGCGGTAAAAAGGCAAGGGTATTCACTGAACTATGAATTGTGAGGGATGCACCAGTGAATTGCAAATTTTAGGCCTCAAAAACTCATCTGAAACATTCCCCAAATTATCCTTTTTTCCAGCACATTTATTTTGGCCTACAATTAGCTATTCAGTTGTGAATGTTGAACAATTCATGGTTCAGTCAATAACATTACTAATACTTGTAGTGCCTTTTTACTTATTTGCTTATAATTCCAATATAAAACAAATGTGCGGATACAAGCTTGCTCCTTATCCCTATAAGAGCTTGCACATAATAACGAGAGGCTTCTGGTAGGTGGAGACATTAAAATATGCCAAAAAATTCATAAAAAGTTGCTTTTTTTTTTGCATTATTTATATATTTCATTAAAATATGTGCAAATTCCAGCATGGAGAGTCTTTTAAGGCCTTTAACTTTAAAAATGTGGTAAAAATAATTAAAATTTATACATTGACTGACTGTCAAAGGGTTACATATACTGACCAAAAAGCTGGTTCAATGTTGTAGGCCAGAAATAGAAACAGAGCACAATGCTTGAACTGTCCGTGAATGCAACACATGTCCCTATGTAGTGTGTGTATTGGCATACACATCCAGAACAGATGTAATAAAAATACATAAAAACATTTTTTGCGTGTTGATTTCTGTACATAAATAAAATTTTAGATCATTTGTAACACTTGGACCGGAAAATTACATGAACAAATTCACTGGGAGTATGCTTTGTGTTGTGCTCCCAGGACCGGATTTACCCTACTTGGCTGCCCCAATGCAAGTTTCCTCAATGCACTCCCTATACTATATGTGATTGGATGTGTATGTAGAGGTTTGGGGTATGTGATTGTATTATTTAATGCGAGGCTTGTCAACATGATGCTTGTGGGCTTGCGTGTGCGAGGTGAATACTTATTGTGTTGCATTTGTGAGGGTATGTTCCTTGTTGGATTGTTTGTGTGGGGATGCTGCATGTGGGTTGTGTACGTGGGGTAAGTTTCTTGGAAGGTTGCATGTGTGAGGAGATGCTGCTTGTGTGACTGTGGGTTGTGTGTGTGGATAGGGTTGTTTGGGTATGTAGTGTGCCTTAAGGGGGATAGTGGTTGTATGGTGTGTATTTTGGAAGATAGGTGCTATAGTGTGTGTTTTGGGAAGAAAAGTACATCTGCAGAGGGAGTGTGGGGGAATTCAGGCTGTTGTGTGTGTGTGGGGAAATTGGGGTTGTAGAGAATGTATGGGGGAGGTCAGATCTGTAGTTTGTGTGTGTGCAGTAGCAGTGGTGAAGGTACAGATGTTGTTTGGGGGGAAGAGCTCTGGTGTGGTGAAAAGTGGCTCTGATGAGTGAGATGGGGCTGTGGTAGGGGGACAGGGGCTGTGGTGAGAGGGATAACCTAAATAAACCCTAAAGTGTATTTCTCCCTGGGGGTTCAGTTGCTGCTGGGTGGGCATCTGGCGAGGGAGCATTTTCCCTGAGCACTCTGCTCAGCTCCCTCGCGCGCCGCTCGCAGAGTAACGTCATATTCTGGCTCCCACCCTCACTCTGCGGCGTGCGAGGGAGCTGAGCAGACCGCACAGGGGAAAGTGCTCCCTCGCCAGCCGCCCGCCCAGCATGTCAGTTAGCCGCAAGGCTAACAAGGCATTTACCCTGGGCATTTGGGGGCGGCTTTTTTTGCTGCCCGCTGGAAAATGCCGCCCAAGGCAAATGCCTTGTTTGCCTCACGGCTAAAACGTCCCTGAGTATATGTACACCAACATACACACATGATTTCCACTGCAGCTGAAAAATAACATTTACTCGAAGAAAACCACAATCTGTATAACTTAAAACAGTTTGTTTGCTGGACAAAACATGCTTAAGAGCTGGGCCTGTAAAGGGTAGCATGTAGATATAAATATGTGCAATTCAACTTTTGGGTAATTTCTACAGATTTAATCAAACAAACAAAATTCTACATATTCAAACACACCATGAACTCTACATAATCTAACACACTTGGCAGGACAGGTCGATCTGATGTTAGGTGGAGAGGACAGAGCACATATGTGCGAGTGCTGTATAACGTCAGTGTATGGGTTTAAAGTGCCCTCAATTTCTTTAGAGGTGTAGTGTGAGCAGGTTTAAACAAGCGCTCACTCTAGATTTTCCTCCATCGTCCCAATGCTGGGTGAAAGGGTCGGGCTGTGATCGGGAGGATTGAGAGCAAATCATGCCTCACTTACACTATTTCCGGTTGATAATGCAAAGTCAATTTCAATGTTGCTTATTTACGTTCACTCGAGGGTTCGCAAGGGAAGCACATAAAACTAAATATTTAAAAGAACACTGGGGATTTAAAAAAAACCCAATAAAATATATACATTATATTTTGATATCATGATCGAGCACTCAAATATAAAACAATTATAGATGTCATGGTGCTAATCCAGCCCGGCAATACATGTAACACAAAGGAGTGAACTCAATGGTCTTTTTTCATCTAAACTTCAGTGTTCATTTATTCAGAGATTAATGTTTCAGTCCAACAAACCAGACTTTCATCAGATAGCAAACAGCAATGAAACATCTATGTAAATATCTTGGGTAAACAGTAAAAATGAAAGAGAGTCTTTGTCCGCAACTTGAAACAGGCCCTCTACCTCTATCATCATACAAGCAAACATCTTACGTGAGACGCAAGTGAAACACATGCAGGTCGAGTGTATGATCAAAAGCGATCCAAGTGTTTGCTCAACAGCAACCCAGTAGTGACCTGCTCATACAGTGCTCAGAATGGAAAAGTGCAAAGTGTAACAGAAAAATAGCAACAAGTACAACAGGTATATAGTAATCACACCAAAAGTTGCAAAAGCAGATTACTGCCGCTAAAGTTAAATATAGTTACCAGTTCTACATGCTTCAATCCTTATGCATAGCCTGCCATCATATTCACAAAAAAATGAAAACATATATTATGACAAGCAAAGTGGGTAAACCACCTTAAAGGAACACTATAGGGTCAGGAATACAAACATGTATTTCTGACCCTATAGTGTTAAAACCACCATTTAGTCCCCCTTATCCCCCCTTGCCTCCCTAAATATATCAAAATGTTACTTGTATTCAAGTGTGAAGCTGCTGGCTCTGCCCCTGTCTTATGAAATCATCTAAGAAGTGGCCAGTGGAGTTTTCACGAGGCTGTAATGAAACACTGCATTTTCTTGAAAAGACAGTGTTTACAGCAAAAAGCCTGAAGGGAATGATTCTACTCACCAGAACAAATACAATAAGCTTTAGTTGTTCTGGTGACTATAGTGTCTCTTTGACTTCTAAACAAGGCAATACTTTACCAGAGTGGGGCTGACTGGAACATTCATAAATCAGATAAATTTAAGTTCATATTCGGATCAATTTAAATTCAAATGCGAATTACAAAATACAGGCAAACATATGCTAAATTAATCTCTAAGGTCGAAAGCAATAAAAGATTTTATCTCATTGAGACCCCTTGGGGCCACAGTGTCCAACTTGAAAAGCCGGTATGCTTCATTTCTCAATAATATGGAATCCCTGTCTCCTCCCCTATGTGACAAAGGTGCATGATCAATCCCTGTGAACTTTAGAGTGGACAATTGGTGGCATATTTCCACAAGATGTCTTGCAACAGGTGAAGCATCCCGGATGTCCTTGTATGCATTACAGATAGAGGACCTGTGGTTAACAAAGCATTCCCTAAGACTATTTTTAGTTTTCCCAGTGTATGTTAAAACAAACATGTATTCCTGACCCTACTGTGTTAAAACCACCCTCTAGCCCTCCCCCTCCCCCCGACCCACCCCTTCCTTCCTAAATATAGTAAAATCTTACTTGTATTCAAGTCTGCAGTTGCTATCTCTTCCCCTGATATGCCTGCTTGGCTGAAATCATCATAAGTGGTGGTCTGAGGCTATCACAATGCTTCTCTACATGATTGGCTCAGACTCACCTTCTGCATAGACACACTGAACTTTCCTCATATAGATGCATTGATTTAATGCATCTCTGTGAGGAGATGCTAATTGGCCAGGGCTGTGTTTAGCTTGTGCTGGCTCTGCCTCTGATCTGCCTCCTTGACAGTCTGAGCCAATCAAATGCTTTCCTAAGGGAAAGCATTGGATCGGATTAGAATAACACTTCTAATGAGGGAGATCATGGGCAGAGCCAGCATTAGACTCAAAGTAAGATTTTAGCATATTTAGGGGGGTTAGATGGTGTTTTTAACTCTATAGGTCTGGAATACTTGTTCATGTTCCTGACCCTATAGTGTTCCCCTAAGGTTGGTACCCCTTTGTAGCTAATCACCCTGTCCCTCTTTGTGGAATTTTTAAAACATTAATGTAATCTGTTGTTTGTAAACCCCAGAGTCAGAGTTGTTACACATAACTCGCAAGAATTAAGAGATAGGTAGGGAGCACTTAATGCTGAGGATGGTTGTTGGTGGTATAGAGAAGTGTGTTTCGGCTTACTGTATAAAGTGAATGCAAATTTTCCATTGGATTGAGCAATGCACAAATCCAAAAAAATCAATGCTTGCTGTGCTGGATTTGTAAGTGAACCGAACTGGTGATTTCAAAGAATTCAAAAAGGACAGCATGTATTCCAGTTCATGCTCCTTCCCCTTCCATACCAGCAGAATGTTCTCAATGGTGCACATGTAGGCAATGATATTCCATTAAAACAGCTTGAACAGTTTGTTGTACGTAACACCTATCTTCAAAATTAAAATAATAAATTTTAAAAGTTAATCTCAGGAGATCAAGTACAAAATCAATAGGGTACATTACCGGTTCTGATGCCCCAGATAATACTTCCTCAACTGCCTTAATCCCCTTCTTATGCGGGATGATGGTATGAAAACTGGATACGTCCATGGTAATCAAAAAGAATACCTGGCTCTGGAGTTTGTAAATCCTTGATTCTTAATATGAACTCTGCTGTTACCTGGACGTATAGTGATGTCAGGGTCTTTAGAAAGTCTTTCTAATGTCAATATTCGTTGCTTGGTAATACTGGCATATTTTTCGTAGGTTGAGAGATGATAACTGATACTTCGGTATACACATTTCTTGCAAATGTTTTCAGGGTGGCATTGGTCTGTAGGGAGTAAAATGTGCTTCGTAGATGCTGAAAATGTCACAAAGCTCAAAGATCAAATTTATTTATAAAATATTTTACCAGGATCGATACATTGACATTTCTCTCGTTTTTAAGTATGTCCTGGGTCCACAAAACATTGCATTGATACAATATTACAACAAATACAAAATATATATAAAACAAACAGCAGCCTTCTAGAGAGAATGTCTTCAACATTATCAGCAGTCTGCTGAATAAATTGAAAATAGGGATAGTTACTTGCCTTTGGGTGGATGTCCTTTTGGAGTAATATGAGTGGACATTCTGCCCACGTCGAGAAGACTATCTTCTCTTGGTCCTAGGGCTTGGTGGACACCTACTGGTTTCCTCACTAACCCAAATCTTAAATCTAAAAAAGGACTACTAACAACTTGGGAGGATGCTGTCGTGTGGATCCAACAGGGGTCATCTGTGTTTATTTAGTCGATAAACCAGACTCCCCTGAAGTGACATCAACTGTCATGACCCTAGGTTTAATAATCCTTCTTTGGTTGTCAGGATCATTTGGATGAGGTCTATTACACAGAAACTAGCAATACACCTGGTGTTCAGCGTACTTCTTATTTACCCGATCCAATTTTTGTCTCTTGAAGCAGATCAAATAATTTTTATAAACTGCTAAGTCATCCAATAGTTTCTTAATTAAGTCCTTGTAGCTAGGAGCCTTTAGCGTTTCACTCTGTTAGAATTCAAATTCTTAATATTCAGTTTGGTAATCTTAAGCTCCCTGCCAACTTTTAACTAGTATAATTTGTAGACGTGCAATTTGCTTTGGTCAGAATGTACATTTGGCCGAATTTTGGCAATTTGGATGCTACCGAATGTCTGAATTTCCGTAGTGCCACATTTTGGAAGTGCCGAACTGAACCGAATTGCCGAATTACCGAAGTGCCAAATTTCAAAAGTGCCAAACCGAACCGAAGTATCGAAGTGCAGAATTTCGGAAGTGCCGAAGTGCTTCGGATTTCTGAAAACAAGAAAAAAAAAAACAAGAGAGGAAGGGAAAATTACGTGAATGATGACAGGAATCTAACCCTAACCTTACCCCTAACCCTACCCCTAGATGTGTAAGTGGTTGTGGTGGTTAGGGTTAGGGGTAGGATTAGAGGTACACATACTGAAACAGAGATACACGCATATAGGCATACATACTGACACACAGGCATACAAAGTGACAGACACATACTAACATACATACAGACACACATGCATGAGGACATACAGACACATACATACATACATACACACTGACATACATACAGACACCGACATACATACACACATACATTCATAATGACATACAGACATATACATTCATACAGGTATACATTCATATATACATACATACCGACATACTGACATAAATGCATACAAACACTGACATCCATACACACATACATACATAAACACACAGACATACATTCATAATGGCATACATACAGACATACATACATACATGCATACTGACATCCATACACACAGACATACGTTCATAATGACATGCAGACATACATTCCCCCCAGCAGCACTTGCACTGCGGCTGCGCTTTTCTTTTTTTTTTAAAGGGGCCAACTTGTGCTATTACACAGCCACAGTGCTGACCGGGCCCCTGAACATATAGGGACCATCGGGTGGCCCTAAGAGCGTGGGCCACCCGATAGGCCCCATCAGCGTGCAGGCCCCCGGTGCAACTGCACCGGCGGCAGTTCCGCCGCTACACGTGGGACCCGGTCGGCCAGGCCCCCCAGGCCCGTGACAACCGTCATGGTTGTCACCCCCTGATGGCGGCCCTGAATTTGACTCATAACACTCTGATTGGTTACTTAATCCACAAATCAGAGTGCTCTGAGCTTAATTGCAGGGCAGGGCAAGGCTTTATAAGCCTTCCCCCGCCCTGCAGAGCTCAGTCTGCGCGGAGCCCTCCATGGGTGAAGATGGATGGTTTTTTTGGCGCTCGCTTTTTTTTTTTTTAAAGTGTGTCGGTTATTATGGCTTTTTCTTTGGCCTTTTTTGGGGCTGAAAAAAGATTTTAGAAGAAAGAAAAAATCAAATGGTAAGTTTTATTTTATTTTTTTACAGGTACTTACATTATTTTTAGCGTGAGGGGGGTAGGTAGGGGTTCATTTTTGGGGGGAGGGGGTGACTAGGAGTTTGGGGACCCCTAGTCACCTGGGGACGGGGGGTTAATTTTTTATTTAGGGCCCCCACCCGCCGCTCAGGGGTGGGGGCCAGGGGGGAGGACATTAGGTCCCCCCATTCTGATTTAGGGCACCCATCGCACAGGGGTGGGGGCCAGGGGGAGGACATTAGGTCCCCCCCTCATTCTAATTTTAGGCCCCCACCCACCTCTCAGGGGTGGGGGCCAGGTGGGAGGACATTAGGTCCCCCCCCCTCATTCTAATTTAGGGCCCCCACCCACCACTCGGGGGTGGGGGCCAGGGGGGAGGACATTAGGTCCCCCCCGAATTAGTATTTAGGGCCCCCACCCACCGCTCAGGGGTGGGGACCAGGGGGGAGGACATTAGGTCCCCCCCTCATTCTAATTTAGGGCCCCAACCCACCGCTTAGGGGTGGGGGCCGGGGGGGGCAATAGGTCCCCCTTATTCTAATTTAGGGCTCCCATCCGCCGCTCAGGGGTGAGGGCCGGCCCTTAAGTTTAAAATTGGTCTTTTAAGTTAAGTTTAAAATTGTTCTTTCAGCCAAATTTACTAATACTAAGTAAATATTACTTAGTATTAGTAAATTATGCCCCTACTCGCTATACTGCGAGTAGGGGCATGTCTACTAAACAGTGAGCGACGCGCGAGTGGGGGCTTGGGAGGTGGGACCCTTTAAAAAAAAAAAAATTAACAGTGAGCAGCCACAGGCTGCTCACTGTTTAGTAGACATGCCCCTACTCGCGGTATAGCGAGTAGGGGCATAATTTACTAATACTAAGTAATCTTTACTTAGCATTAGTAAATTTGGCTGAAAGACCAATTTAGGTCTTTCAGCCTTTTTGTAGATAACTCCCTAATACCATGGGAATTAGGGAGTTATTTACCAAGCGGCTGCAAGAGAACTTCCGAAATTCCAAAGTGTCGACGTTCCGAAGTGCCGAACCGAACCAAAATTTTTTCCCATGCACATGCCTAATGCATGGTCTTTCTTATCTGTCAGTCTTCGGTCACCTACTAACACTTTGGCTCGACAAACTAAACCGTCCTTTTCTATTGTAGTTTCAATCACACGTCCTAAGTGCCACTGGTATCTTGGAGACATATCTTCCACACACGGACGCAGGCCTCCGTCTTTCTTGCCAACAAAGAAAATTCCTGCTCCTGCCGGGGATGATAAACATCTAATAAATCCTTTAGCCAGGATCTCGGAGATGTACTCTTTTAGATGTTTGAGTTCTGTTTCAGAGAGGGGAAAAATGCGTCCACAGGAAATGGGTGCAGTGGGGAGTAGAGTTGAGCTGACACCTGGATTGGTTCCGGCCGAACTTTGAAAAAAGTACGGGTTCGGGCTTGAACTTGACCCCGAACCTGAACCCCATTGAAGTCAATGGGGACCCGAACTTTTGGCCGCAAAAATGCCTCTAAAAAACTCCTGGAAAGAGCTAGAGAGCAGCAAAAGCAAGTAAAATGGGAGTGAGAGTAGGACAAGTGCCCTGCAAACAAATGTGGATAGGGAAATCCCTTAAAATAACATAAAAAAAATAAAAAATAAAATACAGCTGAGCCATAAAATAGCACTAGGTGGAATCTTTGATTTTAGCTTTGGAAGAACATAAATCAAAATCTAAAGCATGGCTGTCAGGATGATCACCAGAATTATCCATTTGAGAGAGGTTTGGAGTGTAGGGTATTCTCTTTCATTGTTCAAACTAAGTTCAACTCCTGATGCATGGAGAAAAGGCCTTCATAAGCCTCTGCTAAGGTGTACCTAGGAGGAGGTAGCCAACACTGTTTTTTATGTTTTTATTTTTTTTTAAATTGTGGTAGCCCACAAAATATTGGGACATACAACAAAAGAAGCATTTGCGGCCTGCGGTGCATTTCTTGCAATCCTGATGCATGGAGAAATGCTCAACTCCTGATGCATGGAGAAAAGGCCTTCATAAGCCTATGCTAATGTGTACCTAGTTTATACTAAGTGACCCATAGGTTGAGGAGGTGGTGACCGTGGCGGTGTAGGTGGAAGCAGCAGTGGAGGAAGAGGATGAGGTAGCCAACACTGGTTTTTTTTTGTAATTGTGGTAGCCCACAAAATATTGGGACATACAACAAAAGAAACATTTGCGGCCTGCGGTGCATTTCTTGCAGTCCTGATGCATGGAGAAATGCTCAACTCCTGATGCATGGAGAAAATGCCTTCACAAGCCTCTGCTGTTGTGTACATAGTTTATACTAAGTGACCTATAGGTTGAGGAGGCGGTGACCGTGGCGGTGGAGGAGGAGGATGAGGTAGCTAACACTGTTTATATATATATATATATAGTTTAATTGGGGTAACCCCCAAAATATTGGGACGTATAAAAAAAACACAACTCTGTTCCGCAGAGTAGCTGTTGACATTATAGTTGCACAGGAACTTTGTTGACTTTAGAGAACCTCGGGCAAATCGCACATCCCTGTGGCGGCAACTTTGCATGCGGATGTCATCCATATCAACTTTCAATGTCAGTTTCTGCGCCTACCATGGTGACCATGGGTAACGGAGAATCAGGGTTCCATTCCGTACAGGGACCCTAAGAAACGGCTACCCCATGCAAGGAAGGCAGCAGATGTGCAAATGACCCACTCCCGACACGGGAAGGTAGTGACGACAAATAACAATACAGGACTATTTAGAGGCCCTGTAATTGAAATGAGTCCACTTGAAATCCTTTAACTCTGATCAATTGGATGGGAAATCTGGTGCAGAGCCACTGACCCGTGTGTGCTGCAGCTGAAACTCCACTATCGCCTGCTGCTGCTCGCACGGTCTCATGAGGCGGTGAGCGGGAGAAAGGCCAAAGTTACGCTGCAGTGCAGACAGACGAGCAGCAGCAGGGTGACAACGCCAAAAGCGTGCACAGCCGCTACAGGGAATGTCACATTCTGTTCCAAGTTGCGGATCAGTCTGGTGATGGCTTCTGGTATCAAGTACTCTTTTTACTGAAGCTGCATCAGGTCCTGGTATGTGGCCGGACAAACGCTGGTGCTCAACACCAGGAGGCGTGCGGTTACCCTGCACCAGACCCTGCTAATCCATTCCACACTGTGACTCCTAACGTCAACATCAGGCATACTGGGTCCCAGTCATCCGACCGCCGCCAGACAGTGTCTGGGTCCTGGTCACCGGACTGCCCACCTCACTGTGAAACTACGAATGGATCGTTAAATCTGGTACAAACCTTATGGATTCTTTGATCGCTACATGTATTACTTGGATAACTGGTAATTCTCGATAGTGATGTCCCGAACGGTTCGCTGAACGGTTCGCCACGGACGGCGAACATATGCGGTAAACTTTGACCCTGTACCTCACAGTCAGTAGACACATTCCAGCCAATCAGCAGCAGACCCTCCCTCCCAGACCCTCCCACCTCCTGGACAGCTCACTAAGAATGCAGCTTCACAATGAATGTAAAATGGATGCTGTCCAGGAGGTGGTAGGGTCTGGGAGGGTCTGGGAGGGATGGTCTGCTGCTGATTGGCTGGAATGTGTCTGCTGACTGTGAGGTACAGGGTCAAAGTTTACCGCATATGTTCGCTGTCTGTGGCGAACCGTTCGGCGAACCGTTCGGGACATCACTAACTCTTGAGCTAATACATGCCGACGAGTGCTAGGGGACAGCCGCTCCGCTTTTGCAGCCTGCTCCCTCTTATGCTGTGCTGGAGCCTCTGTGCGACCAGCGCCTCTTCCTCCAAACTGCACACATCACTTGCATGACCTTGATTCCATGTGGGGTCTAGGACCTCATCATCCTTCACATCATCTTCCACCCACTCCTCAACCCTGCCCTCCTTGCCGGTATGCACACTGCAGAAAGCCACAGCAGTTGGCACCTGTGTTTTTCCAGCATGTAAAGTCTGCAATGGACATATGGAAATTGTTTTAGAATTTCCTCCAGGCAACAGTTTTCCCTATAAACTGACCTCTCAGTTTGACTTCTGAGGGTTATTGCCCAGAATTACAATAGTACAAAAAGTACCTTTTAGTTATTGATCACTGGTTTAAAGATAGCAGCTTGTTATCTGGTAGTTTCTAGTGTAGAAAATATCAATCTGTTTTCTATCACTTATATCTGTGTAACAAGTGTTGTAGGTGTGAAACAATATTACAAGTGACCAATGTGGTAAATTCAAATCAAAGTTACGCTTCGATTTGACTCTCAGATATGAAGTGAACACCCCAAATATACTATTTAGCACCAAAAAAATTGACTTTTTAAAACTCCAATGTAAGCAGCAAAACAATTAGAATGTTTACAACTGTGCAGTAAGCGCACTATTTGACGCTTCTATTTGACTGTCAGATATGAAGTGCACCGCAGGCCCCAAAATGTACTATTTAGCAGATTAGCAGCAAAACAATTAGAATGTTTACAACTGCGCAGTAAGCACACTATTAGACGCTTCTATTTGACTCTCAGATATGAAGAGCAGGCCACAAATTGTACTATTTAGCAAATTAGCACACATCGTCTTCCACCCACTCCTCAACCTGCCCTCCTTGCCGGTATGCACACTGTAGAAAGCCACAGCAGTTGGCACCTGTGTTTTTCCAGCATGTAAAGTCTGCAAAGGACATATGGAAATTGTTTTAGAATTGTATCCAGGCAACAGTTTTCCCTATAAACTGACCTCTCAGTTTGACTTGTGAGGGTATTGCCCCAGAATTACAATATTGTTGAAGTACCTCTTAGCTATTGATCACTGGTTTGAATACAGCAACTTGTTATCTGGTAGTTTCTAGTGTAGAAAATATCAATCTGTTTTCTATCACTTGGATCTGTGTAACAAGTATTGTAGGTGTGAAACAATATTACAAGTGACCGATGTAGTAAATTCAAATCAAAGTTACGCTTCGATTTGACTCTCAGATATGAAGTGAACACCCCAAATATACTATTTAGCACAAAAAAAATAAATCACTTTTTAAAACTCCAATGTAAGCAGCAGATTAGCAGCAAAACAATTAGAATGTTTACAACTGCGCAGTAAGCGCACTATTAGACGCTTCTATCTGACTCTCAGATATGTGCACCCCACTAAAATACTGTTTAGCAGTTTAGGACCCAAATAATTTTAAGTTTTAAAACTGCAATGTGACAGCAGATTCTATTTGACTCTCAGATATGAAGTGCACCCCACTAATGTACTACCCCACCAATGTACTATTTAGCACAAAATACTTTTTAAAACTCTGATGTAACTGCGGTATTTGAAGCTTCTATTTGACTCTCAGATATGAAGTGCACCCCACCCCACTAATGTACTAGTGTGCAGAATTCTTTCCTAAGCTGTCCCTATCAGCGGCAGCATCCTCTTCCTACACTAATAAGACCGCATGTGCGTGCAGCACTACGTGTCTCCAGCTTATATATAGAGGTCACATGCTGCACTGACCATTAGTAGGCATGGCTGTGATGGCTTTTAAGGGCACATGAGTCAAACGCTTGTTGATTGGCTGCCCTGCAGCCTTTGAAAACGCGCCATTAAATCGCCGAACACCGAACTCCAACCCGAACATACAGTGATATGTCCGTGTCCAGGTCCGGCGTCCAAAAAAACCTAATGTTCGGTACGAACTCGAACTTTTCAGTTCGGGTTCGCTCAACTCTATTAGGTAGTAGTTCGATTGGACAGTCGTATGGCCGTTGTGGGGGTAATTGTTCTGCATTTCTTTTGCTGAAGACGTCTTGGAACTCTTTATATTTGTCTGGCAGTGTGACTGGAGGGTCAGTAGTTATAGTGAGCAGGTGCATGTCTGTGTTGTTCAAGCAAGTGGTGGTGCAAAAGGTAGAGGGAAAAGTTAAAGTGCCCTTGAGCCAATCTATTACCAGGTTGTGGGTGCGGAGCAATGGAAGACCGAGGATGAGTGGAAACATAATTGAGGGCAAAATATCAAGATTAATAGTCTCTCTATGTTGACCAAGGAGGAGGCAAATGGGACCTGTTTCGTACATTACAGGTCCTGTTTTGATAGGAGTACCATCCACAACATATAATGACAAAGGATGAGCCTTCCGTCGCATAGGTAGATGATGGGTCTGCACCAGCTTTTGGTCTATAAAGCAGCCGCTGGCACCTGAATCAATGAAGGCTGTGACAGAATGTTCTTTATTTCCCCACTGGAGAGAGAGAGGAACAGAGAGATAAGAGGAGGTTGGTGGAACAGTAGGAGTCCATAAGGAAGGAGCTATAATATTCTTACCAGGTGAGGTGTTGGGTCGAACTGGGCAGGACCGAAGTTGATGATCCGCTTTACCACAGTAGAGACAGAGTCCTTGAGAGCGGCGTCTCTTGCGTTCTTCTTCAGTTAGAGGACGGCGTACCACGCCTATTTGCATAGGTTCTTCAGAAGATGAAGAAGAAACCACAGAACCTGATAAATCCAGTGACCGGGTATTAGCTGGAGTTTGTCTCTTGCTTCTCCGTTCACGGAAACGGTGGTCTAATTGGGTGACCAGGAGAATCAGAGCATCCCAATTCTGGCCAGTTCATCTTTTAGGGCCTCAGACAGACCCAATCTGTATTGCTCTATTAGACCAATCTCATTATAACCGGTATCAGCAGCTAGCTACCTGAAATCTGTAGTATAATCCTCCACAGGTCTTTTCCCTTGCCGGAGGGCACGGAGTATACTGTGAGCAGCAGAAGGTCTCAAAGGATCATCATATAACAAGCGCACGTTTGCAGCGAATGAATCCCATGAGTCCACTATAAGGCTATTGGAATGTAAAAGTTGGTGTGCCCATGTCTGAGGTTGACCGGATAGTAAAGCAATGGTAGTACGAACCTTCACAAAGTCATTAGGGTAGGTGTGTGGCTTCAGAGTAAAGAGTAATTCGCAGGCTGTAATGAATGAACGTAGTTCAGTCTTTTTTCCTGTAAATTTAGCAGACGTAGGAACGTTGGGTTCAAAAGGCATAGGCGTCATATGGGCACCAGGAGGGGACAAATCCGGCAGAGGTACAGACTTTGCTCTCCTTTGTTCATGCTGTAGCAGTGCGGTATTGCTGGCTTGCAAATCCTGAACTGCTTGGGCTAAGGCTGACATTTGCTGGGTTAAAGCGGTAATGGCCTCGGCTGTTCCTGCGGGTTCCATATTTAAATGGCTTGGTTATTATGTCACACCCACCTGGAGAGTCGTGGAGCGGATGGAACCCAATTTGCAGTGGAACAGCACTTCCCTTAGGGGCACCTGGAAGTGGAGACAGGGTCCCAAAAGGTCTGTGGTGGCGTGGAGGCCTTTAATAAAAAATAATAAATTTCCACAAGGCAGCAGCAGGAAAAGCAAACGAAAATGCAGTCTTGCAGCAGACAGAAGTAAACAATGAATCTGGATCTAAGTCAGGGAGTAGGCTGTAGCAGTTGTCCAAGGAATCAGGAAGCAGGAACCGGGAACAGAAGCTGGAGCAGGAAAAGCAAACGAAAATGCAGTCCAAGGAATCAGGAAGCAGGAACCGGGAACAGAATCTGGAGCAGGAAAAGCAAATGAAAATGCAGTCTTGCAGCAGACAGAAGTAAACAATTAATCTGGATCTAGGTCAGGAAGCGGGCTGTAGCCAGGGCCGTCTTTAACGCGGGGCAAACGGGGCAGCTGCCCCGGGCCCAG